AAGCAGTTCTAGTTTTAGGCTTGTTAAAAAGCATTCTAGTCTTCCATTGTTACTGCATTTGTTAGGTAGTTTCACAGTGTTAAATCTGACTCATTAGGGATGACACATTCCATTTTCATAATTATTTCACAGCTCCCTGCAAACAAATGTCCAGGACCAGATGGCTTTGCTGGTGAATTCTACCAAACATTTAAAGAATTAATACCAATCCTTCTGAAACTCTTCAAAAAATACAAGAGGAAAGAACACTTCCAAACTCATTTTACAAGGCCAGCATTAACCTGATATCAAAACCAGACAAGGATGCCACAAGAAAAGAAAATTACAGGTTAATATTCCTAATGAACATAGATGCAAAAGTTCTCAGTAAAATATTAGCAAACCAAACTCAACAATACATTGAAGGGATGATACAACATGATCAAGTGGGATTTATTACAGGGAGGCAAGAATGTTTCAACATCTACAAATCAATCAGTGTGATGTACCACATTAACAAAATGAAGGATAAAACTTGTATGATCATCTAAGTTGGGGCCAGCCCCATGGCCTGGTGGTTAAATTCAGCACACTCCATTTTGGCGGCTTGGGTTCAGTTCCTGAGTGGAAACCTACAGCACTCCTTGGCAGCCATGCTGTGGCAGTGACCCACATTCAAAGTAGCAGAAGATTGACACAGGTGTTAGCTCAGGGTGAATCTTCCTCAAGCAAAAAGAGGAAGATTGGCAATAGATGTTAGCTCAGGGTAATCTTCCTCAGCCAAAAAAAAAAAAAAAAATCATATGATCATCTCGATAGTTTGACAAAATCCAACATCCATATATGATAAAAAAAATCTCAACAAAGTGGTTACAGAGGGAACATACTTCAGCATAATAAAGTCCATATATGACAAGCCCATAGCTAACAGCATACTCAAAGGTGAAAAGCTGAAAGCTTTTTCTCTAAGATCAAGAATAAGACAAGGATGCCTAATCTCACCACTTTTATTCAACATGGTATTGGAAGTCCTAGCCAGAACAATTAGGCAAGAAAAAGAAATAAAAGCCATCTCCAAATAGGAAAGGAAGGAGTAAAACTGTCACTATTTGCAGGTGACATAATATTACATGTAGAAAACTCTAAAGACTCCACCAAAAACTGTTAGAACTAATAAATTCAGTAAAGTTGTAGGATACAAAATCTATGTAAAAAATCTGTTGTGTTTCTATACACTAATAACAAACTAGAAAGAGAAATTAAGAAAACAATTTCATTTACAATTGCATCATAAAGAAGAAAATACCTAGGAATAAATTGAATCAAGGAGATGAAAGACCTGTATACTGAAAACTACAAGACAATGATAAAAGAAATGGAAGAAGATACAAACAAATGGAAAGATATTCCATGATCATGAATTGAAAGGATTAACTTTGTTACAATGTCTGTACTACCCAAAGCAATTCAATTGCTACAGATTCAATATAATCCTTATGAAAATTTCAATGATGTTATTCATAGAAATAGAACAAACAATCCTAAATTTGTGTGGAACCATAAAAGATCCTGAATAGCCAAAGCAATCTTGAGAAAGAAGAACAAAACTGGAGGCATCACACTCCCTGATTTCAAACAATATATTACAAAGCTATAGTAATCAAAACTGTGTGCTATTGGCATAAAAACAGACACATAGATCAATGGAACAGAATAGAGAGCTGAGAAATAAACCTGCGTATATATATGGTCAATTAATTTACAACAAAGGAGGCAAGAATATACAATGGGGAAAGGGCAGTCTCTTCAATAGGTGGTGCTGGGAAAACTGGACAGCCACACACAAAAGAATGAAACTCAACCACTATCTTATGCCATACACAAAAGTTAATTCACATCAAAGATTTGATCATAAGACCTGAAACCATAAAACTCCTGAAAGAACACACAGGTGGTAAGCTCCTTGACATCAGTCTTGATGGTGAGTTTTTGATTTGACACCAAAACAAAGGTAACAAAAGCAAAAATATACAAATGGGGCTATAACAAACTAAAAAGCTTTTGCACAGCAAATGAAATCAACAAAATAAAAAGGCAACCTACTGAATGGGAGAAAATATTTGCAAATCATGTATCTGATAAGGGATTAATATCCAAAATATATAAAGAACTCATACAACTCAATAGCAAAAAAAAAATCTGGTTAAAAAAACAGGCAGATGATCTGAATAGGCATTTTTCCAAAGAAGACATACAAGTGGCCAACAGACACATGAAAGGGTACCTAACATCACTAATCCTCAGGGAGATGCAAATCAGAACCATGATGAGATATCACCTCACACCTGTAAGAATGGCTATTATCAAAAAAAAAAAAAACCCAGGAGATAACAAGTATTGGCAAAGATGTGGAGAAAAGGGGACCCTTGTGCACTGTTGGTGGGGATATAAATTGGTGCAGCTGCTGTGGAAAACCGTATGTAGGTTCCTCAAAAAATTAAAAATAGAACTACCATATGATCCAGCAATTCCACTTCTGGCTATTTATATGAAGAAAATGAAAATACTAATTTGAAAAGATACATGCACCCCCCCCCCCATGTTCATTGCAGCATTATTTACAATAGCCAAGATATGGAGGCAACCTAAGTGTCCATCAGTGGATGAATGGATAAAGAAATTGTTGCATGTGTGTATAATGGAATATTAATAAGCCATAAAAAATGAAATCTTGCCTTTTGCAACAACATGGATGGACTTTGAGAACATTATGCTAAGTGAAAGAAATAAGAGAAAGACAAATACCCTATGATCTCACTTATGTATAGAATCTAAAAATAAAATAAGGAAAATTTTTAAAAACCAAGCTCATGGATACAGAAAACAGATTGGTGGTTTCCAGAGGTGGGTAGCAGGTGGGGAGTGGGCAAAATGAGTGAAGGGGGTTATAAAGTACAAACTTCCAACTATAAAATAAATAAGTCATGGAGATATAATGTATAGCATGGGGACTATAGTTAATAATACTATAATTTATCTTGAAAGTTGGTAAGAGAATAAACCTTAAAATTTTCATTATAAGAACAAAAATTTTGTAACTATGTATAGGGATGGATGTTAACCAGACTTATTGTGGTGATTGTTTCACAATATATACAAATATCGAATCATTATGTTGTATACCTGAAACTAATATAATGTTATATGTCAACTATATCTAAATTTGAAAAGAACCATATCAAAGCTTATCATCAGAACGAGTATAGATATTTATGATTTAAGTGTATTAAAGTCATGTCTAGCTTTGGCTAGAAGTGTAAACAGACTAGAATTTTCCTTTCTCAGAGCGATTGACAGGATTCCTGGCAAGTTTGTTGACTTTCTGAGTAGGCTCTTTGCTCACTTCTTGCTTAGCTTTTTTGAAGGTTACTGTTTTTCTCTGCAAGTGTATTGATATAAAAGCTTAGATAAAACTTAAACTAGCTTTTAACTAAATTTAAACTAAATTTTAGTCCTTTCCAGAAGCCCAAGTGAGATATTTATTTATTATTCTTTTTACAACTTACTTGGTTTGAAGGAGTAGGGCCATAAGGTGGTGAGAACTGTGTTAGGGAACAAGTGCTGGTTTAAATTATAAATTGGGGTTATTTGTAGAATTTAACATACTTTATCATAAATTATTAGGTGTTGGTCTACTGACTTTCATCTTTACAATTAGCAGAATATTGGAATTTTCTTCTTGTTTTCTATTTTGGTATATAAATGTCATTGGTTCATGAATAACAAAAAGAATCCTAACAGTTTATTTAAAACTTTTCTGTGTAAATATCTAAGATGGAACCAATTCAATCCAAAATTTAATTGTATATTATGTGTATGAAAATGTGCTAAATTTTTGATTTATAGGGTTCAGACAAAAATATATATATTCCTAGCCCAAGATTCTTAATTGTTTTTAAAAAATTGGATGCAAGGAGAAAAAGCATTCATTTAAAAAGCTTTTACCATAATGCAGAAACACTTGAGTCATAAATAGATGATCTTGTTCACCTAGGCAAGCATACGCACTAAATGAAGACAGAAATATTCAGTAGGTGCTATTGAGCAGTAACACTTTGTTCGAGGGATCATGATCCTCATAAGCAGAGCAGTGAACACTGTGGTAGATTTAGAGTTATGGCATATGTTCTCATTGTTGTTGGGAAAAACATTTTAATTGTGAAAGTGTGTATGAATTCTTTTAAGGCTCTATTAGAAACAAACATAATGCAAATGTTAATTGAGTTAAAATGGTTATATATGAATTGTCTGACCCCAAAGAAATTTTCAGTGTAGTTGAAGAGTTAAGACATACATATGTGAAACCATTATAGACATGACAGAATAAGAACCTACCCTAAATTCTTAGAGTAACCTCTCTTTGTCCTGGTAGGCTTCATGGAGGAAATGAGATTTGAGATATCCACTAAAGAATTGATAAACTGCTTCATGTTACAATGAAATTTACCTTTTGCAGTAGAACCTACTGTAGCTATTGTTTGACATGCTTATTATAAGCAATGAATTTCATTGTAGCACACTAGGGATGACGATCAGAGGTTCTGAAGTTACACTGTCTAAATCCAAATCCAGATCCACCACTTACGAACTGCATCACTTTAAAATGGGGATAATAATAGGTTCTTTCTTAGAGGGTTTTTAAGGATTAGTGAGAATAATACATCCACATATTGTGGGAATGGCATGAGCTCTGGAGTCTGGCAGACCTCGGTTCAAATGCCAATTCTGCCACTTATTGGACCTTACACACTTGAGTTTTCCAAGATTCAGTTTTCTCATTTATAAATGGAGATGATAAAGCCTAACTCAAAGGGCTGTTGTCATGATTAAGTGAAGCAATTTATGTAAAGCACTTAGCAGAGTGCCTGACAGGCAGCAAAAGCTCAGTAAATAATGTTGTGTTGTTACACAATCTAAGTCATGTTGAGACTTCAGTTTTATCTTTTTCTTCATGTTTTTAGGGTGAACCTGGTCTGCCTGGATACCCAGGTAACCCTGGTATCAAAGGTTCTCTGGGAGATACTGGTTTGCCCGGATTACCAGGGACCCCTGGAGCAAAAGGACAACCAGGCCTTCCTGGATTCCCTGGTAATATTACTTTTCTTAAATGCTTCCTTCTCCCCTTTCTTACCTACTCTAACCCATATCACAGAGCAACTTATTTGGCAGACTTCTATTCTGTTTCCCAAGAAGATACTGACTAGCAACATAACCTTGAACTAGCTATTTAACTTTTCTTTGCCCCAATTTTTTCATGTATAAAATCAGAATGAGTATTACCAACTCTGCAGGGCAATATCCTGTGGGCAGAGGGAATATTTGGTGGAGCATTCTTCAATCTTTGACTGCTTGCCAGAAGTCAATTAAGAGGCCTTACTATATTCATAGGTGATAATGTACACTGCCAAGCCCTAGTCTGCTGCTGATTCTCTTAGGAAGTTGTACTCAGGCACACAGCGGGTGGCTGTTGGTAGAACAAACATGCAGTTCATTCAAATGACAAGGACTGAGTCATGCAAGTAGGGGGACTTAGCACTATAGTCAAGTAGATAGCCTGATTTAGGTCATTATAGTACCTGTTCTGTTTATGCTTGCATTTAATTTTTGTTTGTTTGTTTTGGATTGCATAGTGGCATGGATAGAGTGGGCCTTCGGGTATCTTTTCCTTAACCTTTTTATTGAAATGTAACATAGGTACAGTAAAGTGTACAAAACTATAGATGAGTTTTTACATATGTATATATTCATGTACCCACCATACATATCAAGACATAAAATATTTCCCTGATCCCATAAACTTTACCCATGCCCCTTCACAGTGAAACCCACACTCCCTACTCCCCACCCCCAAGAAATCACTTCTATGACTTCTATCACCATCAATTAATTTTGCCTGATTTTTAAATTCATATAAATAGATTCATATAGTATATATCCTTGTGTCTGGCTTCCTTCACCCATCATTATGTCTGTAAGATTCATTTATCTTGTTCCATGTGTCAGTAGTTTTATCATTGCTCTGTAATATTCCGTTGAAGAAATACACCATAATCAATTACCCATTCTCCTGTTGATGGACTTTTGGGTTGTTTCCAGTTTGGGACTACTAAGAAAAAAGATGCTATTGACATTCTTTGACATGTCTTTTGGTGGACATAAGTACTTATGTCTCTTAGACAAATACTTAATAGGAAAATTACTGAATCTTAGGGTAGGTGTACATTTAACTTTAATAGATGGTGATAGTTTTCTAAAGTAGTTTTATGAATTACAGTCCCATCTGCAAGATATGAAAGGTCTGTGGATGGCTCCTGGTAGCTTGCCATGGTTGTATAGTGGTTAGTACTTTGCATTGTGAAATGTCTAGTTGCCCATATCCTCCCCTCACTTGGTATTGTCAATCGTTTTAATTTTAGCTATTCTTATGGGTATATAGAAGTATCTCATTGAAATACATTTTTCTAATGAACGACAATATTAAACACCTTTTCATATACTTATTGGACATCTGGATAGCATCTTTTTTGAAGTGCGTGCTCTAAGTTTTTTTGCACATATTTTCTTGGGTTGTTTGCCATTTTTCTTGCTGACTTAGAACATTTCTTTATATATTCTGAATATGAGTCCTTTGTCAGATACAGGTATTACAAACGTGCTCTTCCTGTCTCACTTTTGCCTTTCACTCTCTTAAAGCTGTTGTGTGATGAACAAAAGTTGTTAATTTTAATCAAGTCCAAATTATCAATCTTCTTTCATAGTTAGTGCTTTTTGTGTCCTATTCAAGAAATATGTGCCTACTCTATTTTATGGAAATATTCTTCTAATTTTTTCTATAACCTTGATGTTTAAGCATTTATGTTTAGCTTTGTGATCTTTCTTGAATAAAAAATATTTTTATGGTTGTGAGGTAGAAGTCAAGGTGAATTTTTTTCTCTACAAATATCCAATTGCTCCACACTGTTTTTTTTTTCTTTTAAATAACCTGAGTTCTTCTATTCTTCTGCTTATCAAAAGCCATCATTAAGAAAATGAATAGAGAACCACAGACTAGGAGTAAATACTTGCAAAATATATATCCAACAAATGATTGATATTTGGGATATATCAAGAACTTCTATAACTCAATAATAACAAGATGTACAATGCAATGATTTTAAATGGGGAAATCTTTGAACAGATATTTCACAAAAGTTATATGGATGACCAATAAGCACATAAAAAGGTGATCAATATTACTATCCATCAGAGAAATACAAATTAAAACCACAATGAAGTAGAAGTACATTCTTACCAGAATGGCTATTAAAACAACTGATAATACCATATGTTGTACAAGGATCTGGAGCAACTGGAATTCCAAAACATTATTGTTGTGAGTATAAAATGATTTGGAAGACTTTTTTTAATAAAACACAACATACACCTACTCTTTGACTCAGCAGTTCCACTCCTATCTAGGTATTTATCTAAGATAAATTAAGACGTATGTCCACAAAAATAGCCATGCAACAATATGCATAGCAGAGTTACTCATAATAACTGAAAACTAGAAAGAGACCAGGTTTCCATAAATAGAATAGATATTCATAATAGCTAAAGCCTGACAACAATCCAAATGTCCAACGACAGATGAAAGGATTTAAAAAAAAAGAATATCCCTACAATGAAATCTTACCAATTTTACCAGTGTAATATGGTGGTGATCATTTTTATTATGAATGTATAATAATGCCAGCCTCTGAATAAATAAATTGAAAACTTAAAATTATTCTTAGAAATATCCAACAAACACCCACACATTTTTGGGTTTTCTTTCTACTTACTATTTCTATGCTAACACTATAAATTGTAAACCTGAATTGTAGCTCTCAAAGCAATGCAGTTTGTCTTGTGTCATTAAATTGAGCTCTTTACTCTAGGAACCCCAGGCCTTCCTGGACCAAAAGGTATTAATGGTCCTCCTGGGAACCCTGGCCTTCCAGGAGAACCTGGTCCTGTAGGTAAGCATGAAAAATAGGGATTTGCTGTTCTGTAAAACTAAGGCTCGGCCACCCCCAGTGGCCTAGTGGTTAAGTTCAGCATGCTCTGCTTTGGCAGCCTGGTTCGGTTCTCAGGCACGGACCTAGGACCTACACCACTAACAGAGCGGCCATGCTGTGTTGGCAGCCCACATACTGAAAAATAGAGGAAGATTGGCATGGATGTTAGCTCAGGGCGACTCTTTCTCAGCAAAAAAATACAAACAAAAACTAAAGCTCATATTCATTTGGGGAAAGTTAAATCATTTCTGGGAGCTGTGAACATTTTCAAGACAAGGAAACATGGTGATCATTCACTTAGCACAGCTTATTAGGTACAAAGTGGACAACTCAATAAAAATTACTATTATGAGACCTTATTTGGGGGGCTCACTTTTTCCAAAGAGAGTTATTTTAACTATCCTATAATAGTACTTAAAAGCTCTGGAAGTTTTTTTTTAGAATGGCAAGGTATAGCACTTTTGTTTGCTTACTGAATTTTAAAGCAAATCACTTCTCTTGAAACCATACGAGGCGTATAATGCACCCCACCCCATCCCCCACACCTCCCTCTCTTGGATATTCCACAGCTAGATTAAAATGAGAAACTGAAAGTTTTTGGATGAGTGAATGATAAGGTTGTTCCTTATTCTCATTATCCTTTATTTCCTTTTGCTTTTTTTTCCACAAAATTTCATGATTTAAAGGAGCGTCTCAGAGGCACTTTGTGTCTTTTGGGTAGAACTGTTTGAAGCTGGTATGGAAAGAATGGGAAATATGGAAGGAAAATGGAATTGAGAAGATAAGTGTAACCTGCTGTACTCTGTTCTTTAGGTGGTGGAGGTCGTCCGGGGCCACCAGGGCCTCCAGGTGAAAAAGGCAAACCAGGTCAAGATGGTATTCCTGGACCAGCTGGACAGAAGGGTGAACCAGGTGCTGTGTTTTTTCATTGTTCCTAATTTTCTAATTTCCTCCTTGTCTGTTTTAACTTTTGCCCTTTTTTACCTGCAATGAAATTATATCTTCTTTCTTCCCCTCTAAGCTACCACACACTTCCCCCTTCCTAATTGCTTTCTTCTACTCTGTCCTAAGAATATTACCTCACATTTATCAATCAAGTTGTCTCCCTCTTATGAAAAACTCCATATCCTTTCTTGCCCAGTTTTTCGTGTCAAGAAGTTACCCAGCTTTTTTCAACTTCTCTGGATGACCTCCTTTCACTATGGGATCTATATTCCATTTATATATATATTCATATGATATAAGTATATAAAGATATAGTAACACTCATCACAAATAGAATACACCTTTTTATAGTTTTCACATGTTAGAATTATAGTTCCATGTTGGAACTAAATCTTCTGCATGTTTCGTATAATATGTTTTAGCACTTAATAAAAACCCAAATGATCCAAAAATAATTTGTCCTCGTTTCAGTTATTATTATCTATTTGAGAGATTTTGGTTTATGCTCTGACAGGTCAACCAGGCTTTGGAATCCCAGGACCCCCTGGACTCCCAGGACTTTCTGGTAAACTTTAATAAAATATGCTAAATTGGTCCATAATAAGAGAATATTCTCCAGTACACTTATTTTTCCATCTCCATCATTTACTCTTATAAAATGCACATACAACCCTGGAAAACCCAAAGCTAGAGTTATATCTTAAAGCATTTCTTAATTATCAATTTAGTATAAGGAGTTGTACTATATAAAAATATATCCTTAAGGAAATTTACATGTAGATATCTCTTCATTAACTTTATAAATAAATGCTGAGGAAATGATAAAGAGAGCAAGCACAATTGTAGGAAGAAGTAGATCTCACTAAATTTTTTAAAACTCTTTTAAACTTAAAAAAAATTATTTTAGCCACTCTTTTCTTCCTATGGAATCAAAACCAAGGTATAAAAAAAAAAAGGGGGGCCGGCCCCCTGGCTGAGTGGTTAAGTGCGTGCACTCCACTGCGGTGGCCCAGGGTTTCACTGGTTTGGATCCTGGGTGCGAACATGGCACCGCTCGTCAGGCCACGGTTGAGGCGGTGTCCCTTGTGCCACAACTAGAAGGACCTGCAACTAAGATATACAACTGTGTACTGGGGGGAGGTTGGGGAGGTAAAGCAGAAAAAGAAAATGATTGGCAACAGTTGTTAGCTCAGGTGCCAATCTTTGGGGAAAAAAAACCAAAAAGGTAATATGAGGAAACTCTGTAGAAATATGTACCAATAATAAAAATGTCTCTTGAAAATTCCATCTTAATATATGTCTTGCACTTTGGATGAGTATGTGAGCACACACACATTTACCTTCCCTCACTTGTTCTTAGTCTCGTTGTAAGCACCAAATAGTTAATTGAATGAATGTGCCTACCGATATGTATGTTTGTGTTCTGAAATGAGCATTGGATATTCTATGGAGGCTGTTTTCAAACCACACACATATCTCCTAGAAATTCTAATATCCTTCTCATGATCCCAACATGAAAATGATTACTTTAATGTGCCACTATTATATTGCTCTCAGGTGTGTTGGTGGTGTAGAAAAAATGTTGAGAACAGTTGATCTGGATTTTCATTCTAAATCTTGGATAGAATAGTCTTTGGGGACGTATAGCAACCATGGAAGATCCATATCTTTCGTTAGTCTCAAAACATTTGTTTTAGGAGTTTCCTCCAGCCATCTCTAACCTATTCTTGCAGATATATTATACTTTTCTATTTTTTCTCTTTCTTCTCACAGCTACTGTTCATGTGACCACTGCTGTAATACAAAGTGTATCTTTCAGGATGCAAGCTATTATTGTTTCTATATTTCGATGCACACCCTAATAAACACTTCTGATAACAGATAAATATATATAATAGGAAGAATGGGTTTTCTTTGGATGGGTTGGGAATTTGGTGGGAGATAGAAATGACCCTAGTAAATTTCATTACTTGTTCTAATAAGTGTGAATAACTTTAACCTTACCTGCAAACCTAATACTCAGTATGGTTTAATGTGTTCTTTAATGTCACTTTACTTTCATAGGTCAAAAGGGTGATGAAGGATTGCCTGGCATTCCAGGAAACCCTGGACTTCCAGGTCCAAAGGGCGAACCAGGCTTTCAGGGTTTCCCTGGTGTTCAGGGTCCCCCAGGCCCTCCTGGTTCTCCAGGTCCAGCTCTGGAAGGCCCTAAAGGCAACCCTGGGCCCCAGGGTCCTCCTGGAAGACCAGGTATGTACATGAGTGGTAGGGGAATGGTCTATTTATTAGTCCATTTATTTCATTTTGCTGGCAGGTTATTTAGTCTTTAGGACTTTAGAATCTATAAGAACTTCTTGCAAGTAAATAGCTTTGCTTATACCTAGTTCCATGCATTTCCAGGGCATCTAATAATTCTTTTCAGTAATACCTTTCATGATTTACTTAAAGTTGAAGTAAAACAAACCAACTTGGAGAAAAAAAGTAAATAGTGGATTTATTAGTCTTTTTATTAAACGTAAAGCTATACTGATAACCTGGCAGCAAAATACCATCTGCATTTTTAATATGAGCTTCTCAGCATGTCATCACAGAAATCATTTTAGTGATCACCCAATAGATGCTTGTGGTCCATATCAAGTGTTGCTGTTTCTGTCACATGATCAGCAAATGTCACCAAGCACAATAAAAAAAATTTATCTTCTCTAGGAACTAGGCAATCAAATTTATCTTCAACATCACAGCATGATTAAATTGAATCGTGATCTCTTCATACCAATTTCATGTCTATACCTCATTTGTCTTGTGTTAAGTGCTCTAGTATTATCAATTTTGCATCCAGTGTTCACTTTTCATTTTGTATCTGTGCTGTGTCATTTCATTTTACTAAGTTTGGAGATGCTCATTTTCATCCTAGATTAATGTCGCTGAGCCCAATCACTGGTGATAGATTATGAAAAGATTTTTGATACTTGATATTCAGTTTTTATATTTCTAATAATTTAAAACTTGGTCTTCATTGATTTTTTTAAAAATAAGAGAAATTTGAGATTAAAGAAACAAAACCATTGTCTTTTTATCCTTTGAAAGTCTCTGACTCATTTTTTAAATGTATTTAAAAATGGAAATTTCCATTTAAATTACCATAAACTCTGAACTGATTGGAGTTAATTTTAATAAAATATGCTCTAAAAACATGAATTAAATAAGATCACATACTTTCTTCAGAGGATCACTTTCAAAACCAGATTTTATTTGATCTGACTTGATTGTTTATAGAGGGTGTTATTTGAAGTTTTACCTTCGTTTACTACTGAAGAAAACCAGTGAAAATCTTCTCAGCCATGTTAACTCTCTTGCATGTGATGCAAAGAATTGGCACAAATATCTTGCTTGGTTATGCATGTAATAATTCAAAGAAACCAAACTATTATCCTTTTTTTATATTTTAATCAGCACTGTGGTCATTTGTTCTTACTAGTAATGGAGCTCACTGTTGAACATTGCTTTTAAATATGTCAACATAAAGATTAGTCACAAAGGCACTTTAAAAAGTTACTGTTCCTAAAGAAATAATAACAAAAGTAATCAGAAGAACACACTCCTGATGAGTGTTTGTGACTTCTCAATTTGTTTATAAACTGAAAATTAAAATAAAGTTTGAAACCCAATTGCTCTTAAAATTGATTGTTTTTGTGACTATTATAAAAATGATTTTTGGCCTTTCAAAATATGTCACATGTGCTGTTTTTATTTTAGTGTTGGCGCTAAGTGGTGATAATTTGGTTTATATATAGATGCATGAATGTGAACCTTCAGAGTATTCTTTTACTGAATTAAAATTTAACTTGAAAGATGTTAGTATAATGCTTTAGTTTCTTGATATTTCTAACAATTTTGATATTTTTCCTTTTTGTTAATGATGACATTGGGCCTTGGTGAACTTTGATCCCTATCCAGGTCCTACAGGTTAGCTCCTTAACTTCAAAGTAGTAACTGCATGAAGTTTGAAACTTTTCTTATATTTTTATATATATTTATATGTCTGTGTGTATATATATTTATATATACATATATGTGTATGTATGTATATGTGTGTGTGTATATATATTCTCTATATATACCTATACCTAATGTTTTCAAGTGTTTGAATATATTTTAAGAGCATATGCCAATTCACTTCTTACATGTTGGTCTATCTATGAAAGTTGTCAGGAACTTGTCAAGTCCAGTGTTTTTATCTATTGTAATAACCCAAAATTACCTAATTAGGAAAGCCAGTTTAAGATTTTAAAATTCATATATTTGCATCATTTTTAGTTGAAAATTTATAGTACCCAAAAGTGTATTGTATAATATTTTACCTTTACCTTTAGAGAAGAGAGTATTCCTTATTTTTGTGTTATATCTGTTAATGTAAATGCAGTTGAACTATCCTTCAAAAAGGCATTATTTTTAAATAATAATAAGTATTATCAGATGTTTCAAATTTGCAATTCCTGACTTGCCATACCTCATGTAAGTTTTCAGATCATCCCATCTTCACATTTTGGGTTATCACAAAGTTCTAAATTCTACTGCTATGAAAATGGACTAATAGACACAGAGTAAAAGAAAAACAATCAATGCAACCAGTACAGATTAGAAGTTTTTTAATCTTATTTTCATCATACACATATAAACAGTACTCACCAAAGAACAGTTACCAAGAGCAACCTAATTGAAAATTGCTGATTCATAGTGAAAGATGTTCACCTAATCAGGAGTAAAAAGAACCACAAATATCTGAATGTGTTTATTATTATTCAATATAAATAGCCCTTTTCAAATTTCTAAGGAGGAACTAAAGGGGGAAAAAGTGACATTGGGCTTTGGTGAACTTTGATTCCTATCCAGGTCCTACAGGTTAGCTCCTTAACTTCAAAGTAGTAACTGCATGAGGTTTGAAATTTTTCTTATATTTTTGTATATATTTATATGTATGTGTGTATATATATTTATATATACATATATGTGTATGTATTTTCCTAAATGGATGTCATCGAAAAGATCACTCCTGAGTTCTGGCTATTGGGAATGGTGGGAAAGTTTTTCTTCTTATGAATTTAAAATTCTTAATTATTCAGGATTCTTTTTAGGAAGCCATCTATCTCTATCTGAATGGATTCCCTAGTTTCTTACTCCCCCACTAACCCATTATTTCATAGAACCATAGAGTAGCCAATCTAGAAGGGACCTAAGTTTCATATTTGTGAAAGAGATATTATTCACTAGACACTTGTTAGAGATGACAAGACACATTTTATTCAAGACTATTGTAATAGAGGAGAGACTATTGCAACAGGGGAGAGAGATTGAGCTCAACTCTGAATACAACAAGGATAAGTGGGGTTTTATAGTCAACTAACAGAGTAAGGGAGTCAATGAATGAAAAATTACTAAGAACAGACATCAAGGGTAGGCAGATTCTTGCTAAACTGGACTAATAGAACACTTGCTAAAGGCAGGGCAAGGCTTAGACATCAAGGATGGGGGATGAAGAACTTGATCAGATGTCAAGGGTCGGGGACTCTCCCTAAACTGACATAGCAGGATTCTTGCTAAAACTGGACTCAGCAGACCAAAGACAGAGCCCAAGGGTGAGGCCTGGTTGAGAAGAGATCTCAGAGGAGCCTGTCTAAAGTTTAGTCCAGGAAAGAGTCTTTGTCACATATGAGAAAACTGAGGTCTAAAGAGGTTAAGAAGCTTGCTCAAGGTCATATTGTTAGTTACTGGCACGGCTGAGAATCTGACTTAGGGCTCTCCAGTGCTCAGTAAAGTATCTGTTTTACTAGTAACACATATCATCCTTCCACAAAGGCAGTTGTATAGTTTGATAGTTATGGTCTGGCCTCTTATTCTAGTTATAAATATGATAAGTGATGGAGCAAAGCTGCTTCTGCCATTTTAGGATACTCTTAGCCATAGAAGACTGGGCCCTGCCTCCACTTTCTTGTTTTCTGTTACTTCAAAATCTCCATCAACCCCTACTAACTACTTCGTATGCTTTTCCTAAATGGGTGTCATCAAAAAAATTAAGACAAGTGCATGCTATTTAACTATCACCAAGGTAAAGAGAAGACTAGGGTATACTTTGAAATAATTTTGAGTCCTCCACTGTCTGACTTGCATAGAAGTCTGCTGCCTTGATCACTTCCAGACTTTACTATCAGCTAGAAGATTATTTTCTTCTCAGGCACCAGAGTATATTCAAAGAAGAAACAGGAAAGTAGCCACATTACCTTAAAACCAATTTGACAACTTCTTATTTACCAGATGTACGCTAAATTACATAGTTATTGGAGCCCGGTATCTGCAGTATTCTCTACTTTGCAACAGTTGAAGGCTACAATCTTAAGTGGAAACAAGACTTAAAATATACCAATCAATTCATCAGCTTATGTTTGGTTATTACCACTTATGTACAAGACTTTAGGTTTTTTATTTTATTTTGTTTTTCAAACTTTGTTAGATCATTTGAGAAATAATGGCCTAAGAGCCTCATATACAAAACTGACTTGGCATATGACTCATTAAAATGTTACCTTTTAGAAATTAAAGTCTTAGAAGTTTTGCTATGATATGATCTGAAGTTTTCCTTATTACTTACTCAGACCGTCTGTACCAAACACATATATAAAATGTCTTGACTCAAACTCTGAATTATCCTAGGTAGAAATTCTAATTTAACTAATTATGTGGCCAGACTCTACTCAAAGTGTTGTCTTGAGTCAGTTTGCTGTATGTGGTTTAAAGACCATTTAAACAAACAGAAGCCAATATTTACCTTTCTAAATTTCAAATTACAAGTTGCTTTCAAAGCTTTATTACTAGGCAGTAATGGTAATGTTTTATAGTTATATGATGACACGCCACCATTTACATCATATAATGTACTTTTATTGTAATCTCCTTGAGAGCAAAGTTTGGGTCTAGCTAATCTTTGTGTTCCCTGTAGCAACTTGCACGTGGCAGATATCAGGTCAACATTTTAAAAATTAAATCTTTAAAACAATTCTACAAGCGAGATTAGGGCAGACAACATTGTTCCCATTATGTGGGTGAAAAAACAAGCTCAAAGAGATTGAATTGCCCAGAATTCCATAGATGTAAGTAGTAGAGCCAAGGATAGATCCTAGGTTTTCTACTTCCTAGAATTCAGTGCTCGAGCACAATTTATTCTCTCTGCTAGCCTGTGTTTATAAATCATAGCAAGACTTGTAAGAAAAGAAGATTATGTTTATAGTCAATTAATGTTAACCAAGAGTTGTCCTGTTTGTAAGCTTATCTTTTTATTTAATGATCTTTCTTTTAATAGTTAATAGCGTGATTTAATATGTAAATTGAATAATAATAAAGTAAATGTTATATTTTCTGTGTTTTGGGGCGGACTATTGCATGCCAAATATTTTAAAGCACCCCTTCACTGATGGTCTTCACATCTTTGGCAAATTCAACTCTTTATTTTCAAGTTCAATGATGAACAAATATATATTGACATTCTTCTCTTTGAGTAATTTATTACAAGTAATAATACGCAGAAGAAAGCCTCTTGATGAATTATGAAAAAAATCAGAATGTGGCGTCATGGAATGATTTTCGAAGAAGACAAACAGAAGTACAGTTGGTAATGACCGTTGTAGACTCATATTTTAGTTTCTCTATTTGGTCACCTATGATCTTTGTATTTTTGTCTAACGAGGTCTTTAAAGTTAACTCTATCTCCTTGGAGCAGTCTGAACATAACAAGAAATTTGCACTTCATGTTTTTACTAAAAGGATGTCAGAGACCAAGATAAAACATTTATCCAAAATTATCCCTTTTTGAAAGGAACGGAAGGCTATCAGTGAAGTGGTACTATCTTGTCAACTTTAATGTTTTGAGATGCTAACTTTTGGAAAGTCACAGTAGCAGTGTTAACATGATGTCTTCAGTAGAGTTTTCCATTTTTTGGATTAGTGAAAACTAGCAGCTTATTTCCTAGAATAAGCTCTATTTGAAAATGTTTGGCTCTCTATACTCCTGTATGGTTCTGTTTGCATACTGATTACGCTATAGGTATAAGAAATGCTGGCAAAAAGGGTTATTGTTTAACTTGTGCTATACTGTGAACCACTTCTAACTCATAATCTTATTTTGTACTGTGTGATGTCTGATACTGCTAACATCGATCTTTGGGCTTTGGTGAACTCTGATCTTCCCAGGTTTTCAAGGTTAGACTCTTCACTGGTCAATTCATTTTTTTTTTAATGCTTTGTATGTATCATAAGAGAAATGCACTTGTTTTGCTATAATTCAGAAGGCATTGAAGAGTGCTGTTATCCTCAAATACTACCTGCTCTGGTATTTAACGTTTTGGTGAAGGTAATGTGACTTATTTATGATCAAGTTTGAAATGACATTAGTTCTTTGTGGTTTCAATTATTTATAATGGGTAATCAATACATAAAGACATGTTGAATTTTAAATGGAAATACACTTATTTTTTTCTTTAAGACTGCATTAAGATGTTTAGGCAGGCATCTGGCCCATTTGTAACCTCTATATATTGATTTTATTTTTTTGAATTTTTGTCACGTGAGACTGCTCTGATCTGTGTTTTCATGACTGTTTTCAGTAATGAAAGAAGGTAACTCTTGAGTACTATTAAAAATAAAACTTATATGTCCCTTATGTCATTGGCAAACTCGTCAATTTAAATTTGAAGGACCCTAGAACAGCAGATCTGAATTAATAAAATATAAATTTCCCAATATTTCCTCTTAATTGCAAAAAGAGCAATGCCCATAACATGCCTAGTTTTTTTCAAATGATGACAATGTTCTGATTGATTTTCAGACTAGAAAAGAGGGTCATAATAGATTCCACTTTTTTTCTTATGTTAATCTTACCTTGTCATTGTTAGGGTAATTCACAGATAATTTACTTTTCTCTCAGTAAGCTGACTTGCTACCTGGTTTCTAGTCCAAATTATACATTATAGATGAAACTAACAATTTTTCTTAGAAAACCCTGTCTAGGGGGTTTGAACTCAGCAGTTGTTTTTGTTTCTTTGTTTAAGTTTAAAGTACCCCAACCCTTTCTTTATGATTGAGAAAGGAATTTCTGAGTGTGTCTGTCTCGTTGCCGAGCTAGGGTGACTATATGATCTAAACTGTTTAAAGATAAAAGGATTGTTGTACTTTTGTGGACCTGCTTCCTTTTCTCATGTGCCAAAGAGAGTAGTGTTATATTATGAAATCACATAGAAATAGGTGAAAGATTAAAAACTGGCTCATATTTTAAAGATATATTCTTACCTTCAGTTTTGCCAATAATGAAGATAATAATACTGATAATAATCATTTTTAAAACACTCTTACATAATTCTTACTATGTGCCAGGCACTGTGTCAAGTAATTTATACATATTGTCTTATATAATCCTTGGAACAATCTGATAAAGTAGGCACTATTCTTATTTCCATTTTAAAGAAGAGGAAATTGAGGCCAAGGAGATTAATAAACTTGCTAAGGTCAAACAGCTAATGAGTAATGGAGCTAGGATTCCAACCCAACATTCTAACTCCAGAGCTCAGATTCTTAATCTGTATGCCCTGTTTCCTTGTTAGTATGTAGCTGTTGATTCTGGGTCTTAAAAGAATTTAAAAAGTCCAAATTTTATTTCAAATCAATAAGAGGACCTTTTGTCCATACATTAACATGAGCTCAGTATTCTAAATCCATAGGTCTGTGATATTTCCTTCAAAAATAATCGCTACATATCTTCCTTTTTTGTCAAAACCAATGAAAACCTAATGTTACAGAGGAGAGAAGGTATAAGTGCTAATTATTGGCTGTTCATTATTTAGGGCTTCATAATTGTTTTCTTAAGGCAGCACTACTTAGTCTCAGCCTCAGCCACTGCTTAACACTCTGCAACAGTAACAGCCATTTCCTATCTAGTGACAAAAAGTGTGGCCATTGATGAGCTCTTTTTGGTTGCTTAATGCATCTGGTATCTTTGTTTAGAAAGAAGAGTTAAAAACATAGTATAAGGAAAAGACCTTAGCAAAATCTCATTTTAAATTATTTATTTATTCACAAGATATATACAGAATTCTTTATTTTTCTTCAAAAATATTTAAAATGTAAAGAATATGAAAACATTTTTAAATAAAGTCTAAAGTACTATATTGAATCAATAAATTTCTGACACTTTAAAATATTCCCATGTCTTAAGCATGCCACTAAAATGAAATGAAACAGTTAGTTTGCTTAAGTAGCTATCTTAATTGCATAATAATAGAAGCTGAGTAAAAATAACTATTTACAAATAATGCAATTTGAGTTTAATCACAATGAGACAAATTACTTGAATCCCTGATTGCCCTACAGCAGTGATTCTTAAAGTGTGGTCTGGAACCAGCAGCTTTAGCTACAGGGCGCTTGTTTATCTACAGGGCACTTGTTAAAATGCAAATTCTTGGGCCCCTCCCCAGAATTCCTGAATTCAAAACTCTAGGGGTAAGCCCAGGAATCTGCTTTAACAAGCTCTCCTGGGGATTCTGATGCAGGCTCCAATTTGAGAGGCGAGCCTTGTGGTGTGTTTTGTTACAGTTAAATCAAACAGTTAGGGATTACAGAAGCAATCTTTATTATAAGGTCCTGAGTCCTTTCTTTAGATAGGAGCTTATTGGATTTAATATATAATAAAATGCAAACTAAAAGGGTCTGCAAACCAGTGTTAATAACAAAAAGAACCCAGCCCAGCTTACATTAGAAAGAGAATCAGCATAGGTCTATATATTTTAGTGTAGTCAGGATTATATTATGCAAACTAATAGGATTTAGATGACTGATATTTTAAAAGCCTGACTTTTATGCTGCTCTTATTCTATACTAAAATGTGGTCATTTGTTGTGCATTATCAAGGTCTACCAGGTCCAGAAGGTCCCCGTGGTCTCCCTGGAAATGGAGGTGTTAAAGGAGAGAGAGGAAACCCAGGCCAACCTGGGCAACCTGGTTTGCCTGGTTTGAAAGGAGATCAAGGACCACCAGGACCCCAGGTAGGAAATGGGAGTAGATATTTGATGAGAAAGGGGTGTGGGTGTTTTGCATTTAAAATGAGAATTCTAAGCTGCATTATTTTAATTAGCATTTACTGGTCAAGGCTCTGTGCATAGTTCATTGGTGAATCACAAAGAAAGAAAAAGGCAACTTTCCTATATTCTTCCAATGAAAGGACCTTTGTTGTCTTATAGTTATCAAGTTCCTCAAAAGATACTTTACCTGCGGCTGCCCCAGTGGCCTGGTGGTTGAGTTCGGCATGCTCCACTTTGGCAGCCCAGGTTCGGTTCCTGGGGACGGACGTATGCCACCCTGCTGTGGCCGTGCTGTAGCGGTGATCCACGGGCAAAGGAGAGGAAGATTGGCACAGATGTTAGCTCGGGGCGAATCTTCCTCACCCAAAAAAAACAAAGATACTTTACCTGGAGTCTTTGGTGTGTATAGTATTTGGATTGAAAGATATTCATTTCAGTGAAAGCAAAGTTATAAATGTAAACATATATATCAGAGCATTGCGTGTGGATGAGTCCACCCATAGGGAAGTAATTATGGTGAGTGGCGGTATTTTAGACTTTGAAATTAAATTTAAGGTCAAATTAAGCTCCACTGCACAATTCTACTTTGTGTCTGTGAGGAAAACAGGCAGACACTTTAGGTTTCTGCCTTCACCTATTAAAAAAAAGAATAATAGTATATCCCCACATCTATATTCATGTGCTTTCCACCTTGGTTTGAGTGACACAGAAAGTCACATACTTCTTTATGGATCCTGAAAGCTTCCTCCATTCATTCAGAAGGGTTGTTGTTAGATTTGATAGCCAACGCAGATTAAACTCAGTCTTTTAATTCTGAGGGCTGCTTTATAGGAGGAAAAAAACAATCTGAAGAAGCGGCCCTTAAAGCTTTCCAACAACTAACTTTTTTTCCCACGTCATCACTGTTCCTCTAGACACCTAGACTTAAAATTTTAGTCCTCTCTTTGTTCATTCTCTGCTCACTCTCTACCTTATTCATTTCCCATTGTACTTCCAGTTCGCATGCCACTATGCCTGATTCAAGACTACTGCCTGATAACAATATTTTATAAATCTAGTATTCTCAAGTTCTATTCATTTATTTTGTACAAGTTAGTTCTTACATTTGCACATTTTCTATTTTATTTGGAAATAATGTTAAATTTATAGAAAAATTGCAAAAAAACCCTCACATGTATCATTTACCCAGATGGACCAATTATTAACGTTTCTCCCCATTTGCTCTCTGTATGTCTGTTATGTGTGTGTGTATATATAATTGTGTGTTTTTTTCTAAAACATTTGAGAATAAGTTGCATCTATCGTGCCGCTTTACCCCTACATACTTCAGTGCATGTGCATAAGATTTTCTAATATTCAAGACATTCTTTTATAGAGCTACAGTACAGTTATCAACTTTAGGATATTGAATATCAACATAATACTTTTATTTCTACCTTATACATTTTGCTTGTGTCAATTGACCTGGTAATGTCCTTTACAGCATTTTCCCCCTCCAATATAGGATCCAGACCAAATCACGCATTGCGTTTAACTGCCATATCTCTTTATTCTCCCTTAATCTGAAACAGTTTCTAAATCCTATTTCTTTCTTTCATGACTGTGACATTTTTGAAGAAATGTAGCCCCTTCCCATTTTTAAAAAAATAGAATGTCCCTTCTTTTGTCTGCTGTTTCTTTATAATTAGATTTAAGTTATGCGTCCCCAGCTGGAATACTGCATGAGTGACATTGTGTCCTTCTCAGATATGGAGGCCCACAATGTTCATCTGCTCCTCATTGGTGATCTTAGTTTTGATTGCCTCATCAAGCTGTTATCTGGTTTCTCTACTGTATGGTTACTATTTTTCCCCTTGTAACTAATAAGAGAAACTATGAGAAGGTACATTAACATCATGAAAATATACTGCTCCTCATCAAAATTTCCCCTTAGATTTAACATCTACTTATGACTTTTGCCTCAACCAATCAATACTAGGATGGTGGCAAATGATGATTTTCCAACTTTAACACTACCTCCACATGTACTAGTTGGACCTACTGTAAGGAAGAGCCTCTTTGCTCTTCCATTTATTGTCTATTTATTATCAATATGGACCCATAAATTCCCATTTTTTTCAACAATTTGCAATTTCTTAAACTATCATTACTTATTTTGGTGCTCAAATTGTCCTAGATTTGGGAACTTCTTCAAGCTGGATCCTATGTCTTTCTGACATTGACTGCCCCCCACTTTTAGCACTTTCTTACATTTTGGCATAATAAGATGTTCCAGGCTTGCTCCTATTTTATTCCTACTAATAGGAGATTCATTGTCCCACACTTATTCTTCGTTTAGGTCCGTCCTAGAGGTATTTTCAACTCCTCTTTTTCCCATAGTTTTCTTTTCCTTCAAACCCAATTAATTAACAGGCCCTACTATATTTTTTGCTAAGTTTTTCAGACTTTATTGTTTCTGCATGTGATTCTAATCCAAACACTTATCAGCTTGGGGCTCCACTAAAATCAAGTGCCTTGGTTAATGATAATAAAGTAATAGCTACCATTTATTAAGTACACACATGCCAATCAGTTTTCTAAGTTCTTAATGTGAACTATCTCATTTAATCCTCACAACAATCCCATGAAGTAGATACTGTTATTTTCTCTATGTTAGAGGTGAGAAAACTATGAATCAAAGAGGTTAAATAATCAACTCAAGGTCACACAAGCTAAAAAGAAGCAAAATTGGGATTTGGAAACTGGAAGCTTGACTCTAGAGCCAGTGCTGTAAACCATTATGCAATACCACCTATGCCCTCACTTTCTTATTCCCCCCAATTTTTTTCTAAAATTAATGATTTTATTTACTCAGGGTAATCCTGGCCGGCCAGGTCTCAATGGAATGAAAGGAGATCCTGGTCTCCCTGGTGTTCCAGGATTTCCAGGTATTTGAAGAGATATTTTGAGGTTCTCCCTTTACATTAAATTCCTTTGGGTCAAGACACCCATTTTCTGATTTGGCTGGGTAAAGGCTGTGGCCCTGCTGCTTTGCTGTGCAATTGTATGTATCTTCTTTGCAGGCATGAAAGGACCCAGTGGAATACCTGGTTTAACTGGCCCTGAGGGGGATCCAGGACTTATTGGCCCCCCAGGTAAGACTTATTCCTGGAGCTAGTTATACCTGATACTTAAACATATTGAAGAATTTGAAAGTTTGCATTCTGCCTTTTAACCAAACTTTCAGGGTTTCAGTCCCCAGCAACTAAGGGAAAATAGGCAGGACTCTTTCCCTATTTACTAATCTCTCAAGTTCTCTATGTCAATGTACTATCACGAGCAAACCTTTTAAGTTGAAGATAGATGCAAGACCCTCAAGAATGCTTCATTGAGATTTTTATTGGCTTTTATACTAACTTTCTCATATTCAGTTAAACAGATCACAAGAGCAAGTCACATAGGTATGTTTATATATTTTTTATGTGAAAACATTTCTTTTCGCTGAGAGACTTATAGAGGTTTCCTGTAAACTGTGAAATAGAGTGTGTGCTAAATTCCCCTACTAGTTCAGTGGGTCCTTTGACAAGTACAACAAACAAGAACTGCAAATGAGGTTGGAATTAGAATGGTCTTGTCAGGAAGTAGAATCATCTTCCCCTGACACAAGCGTTCACGGATATGGATTAGACTTTCTAGGAACCGAGTCATCCTTCAATGCATGAAAATAGGGACAATATGCCTAATTTTTTCATTGACTCTAAGAAAATTATTTATTTTTTGTCTTCTGGGTGAGATAATGATAGTTTTCCCAAACAGATTTCTGTTGGACATGGCAACATTCTAATGCATATAACTTGTTTTTTACACCAGTTCTTATGCTGACCTTAGGTCACTTTTGCATCCATTCCTTCTGACCTTTCTCTTCCCTACCTTCAAATTTGTGTGTGTTTACCTCTTAGGTCCTCCTGGATTACCTGGTCCTTCAGGACAGAGTATTATAATCAAAGGAGATGCTGGTCCACCAGGGGTCCCAGGCCAGCCTGGATTAAAAGGTCTACCAGGACTACCAGGACCTCAAGGCTTACCAGGTACCTTTGCAGATCTTTTTAATCCTTATCTATTTGAGAACACTTCCCTAGGTCTCCTTTCACTTGTCAGAGTTGGTCTCAGAAAATAGGAATCTCAGCAACCAGTAGAATACCAGACAACCGCAAGTCCCATTTACTTTTTTCTTGAAAATGTTAATTTCTCATGCCCCAATTTCTTTTAGGCCCAGTCCTATTTCTTCTAGCTCCTCTAGCTATTCTAATTTGAACAATTAGATTAATGTTAAAAAAAAACTTGTAATGAAATTAATATGCATTTAAGATCTAGTGCTTTCTCTATCTCAACCACCAGAAGGATAGAAGGATGATTTGGTGGGCCATCAGTTCCCCACTGTGAGGCCACATGATTTTTAAACTGAATCCTATCTGGTTGGCCATTTGACTCTATTCTTGCAGTCAATTTTGATTATAAAGGAAAGCTAGAAACTAACTTCAGTCTTTTTCTTCTAAAGTCTTTTTTTTTTCTTTGAGTGGCAGTCTTTCCATAAATAAAGTGTACCAGGCAGTAACAGCCTTACATATGGTGGGATAGATAACAAAAGTTGGGCCTTGCAACTCTGTCTTGTTCTGAAGGCGAAGAGAACACAACTTCCATAATATGGAAGAGGTCAAAAGGATTGTTTAAAACTAAAGCTAAATCCTTGTCTCCTTGTTTTGTCCTGGGCTTGAGCTCATTTTATCTGGATTAAACACAAAACCAGATTATGAATTCAGTGACATTCAAGGACCTTAAGTCTCCTAGATTTCTCTGGATGCGAAATTATTCTATTCACATTCAGAAATCCTATTTCTTTTTCCTGTAGGTCCAATTGGCCCTCCAGGAGAGCCTGGACGCAATGGACTCCCTGGCTTTGATGGTGCAGGAGGGCGCAAAGGAGACCCAGGTCTGCCAGGCCAGCCAGGTGAGACAAGTAAAACACTGCTGCTGATACTAGTCTGTAAGTCGGGGAGACCACTGGATGTACGGCCTCCAATTAGAGCTGTGAGAGCCCCCTCTTGAGAGAGTGCAGCTAGCTGATGAGTCTGTTGCTGGGCAAAAATAGGGTAGCACATACGAGGAGATTTGTTAGTATAAGAGAAGCATAGAAAAGTTGTTTTTATTTGTGTGTTTAGAGCACTGGAAAACCCAGCTCTTCCTCAAAATGAAGATTTTCCAGCTACTCACTTGTTCTGATGATTTTCAGTATGTTGATTTAAATTCTATGAGCATCTTGAAACCATTGTGAATATTTCCACATTTGAAAATATCACGATAGAGTGTAATTTCCCCCATAAAATTCAGTAAATGTAATTGTGAAGTTAAGTGATCCCCATAGAGCTTTGAGAGTCATAGTGTCATCTTGTATTGAGAAAAAATATTGGTATGCAGATTTTTGAGGTCACTCATTAATAGGTGCTCCCGATAACACTGAATTGGTATCTGCTAGATTTTAAATCTGTGCTCAACCTACTTCCAAAAAGAATTCGAGTCAACTTACAATAAAAAAAATACTAAAGTAAGATTCCTAAAATAGAAATAAAAGATCATAAACTCAATAGATTTTTTTGCCAGTTTTTTTTTATTGAGTTATTGATAGGTTACAATCTTGTGAAATTTCAATTGTACATTAATGTTTGTCAGTCATGTTGTAGGTGCACCACTTCACCCTTTGTGCCCACCCCCCACCCCACCTTTCCCCTGGTAGCCACTAAACTGTTCTTGGTCCATAGTTTTAAATTCCTCATATGAGTGGAGTCATACACAGATTATCTTTCTCTTGCTGGCTTATTTCACTTAACATAATTCTCTCAAGGTCCATCCACGTTATTGCAAATGGAATGATTTTGTTCTGTTTTGCAGCTGAGTAGTATTCCATTGTATATATGTACCACATCTTCTTTATCCATTCGTCTGTTGATGGGCACTTAGGTTGCTTCCACGTCTTGGCTATTGTAAACAGTGCTGCAATAAACATTGTGGTGCACAGGACTTTTGGGATTGCTGACTTCAGGCTCTTTGGATAAATACCTAGTAGTGGGATGGCTGGATCGTATGGTAGTTCTATTTTTAGTTTTTTGAGGAATCTCCATACTGTTTTCCATAGTGGCTGCACCAGTTTGCATTCCCACCAGCAGTGTATGAGGGTTCCTTTTTCTCCGCAATCTCTCCAACATTTGTTGCTATTAGTTTTAGATATTTTTGTCATTCTAATGGGTGTAAGGTGATATCTTAGTGTAGTTGATCATAAACTCAATAGATTTTTAATATGCATTAGCAACTCCAGATAGTATAAAACATAAAGAGTTTATATTGGCAAAAAATATCAGTGGCAACAAGGCAAAGTGGTGATACCTGTGGCCTTCCTAGAATCAACATCCTGCCATTTCATTAATGAGGAAAACAAACAACTTAGTGTCATCTCCTGTATTTCTAGGGAAGAAACAAGTTAGTGTCATCTTCATTATGTATGGACATTGCTGTGAAGTTTCCCCAAAATGAAAATTTCTACGCACAATGTCCAAAGGCCTGCATATAAAGATAATTTTAAAGTGAGCTCAAATTAAGAGGCTAAATAGAGAAAGGGAACCAGTGGTAGATTGAAAACAGACATTTTGAAAAGGCTTCTTTAGAGTGCCCTGTCTATTCTCTAAACAAAAAGGTATGCCTGAGAATAATTTCCTAGAAAGATTCAAAGGAAGTGTTTTTCAGCACTGAAGCTGGCAGACTGATGGCATTCACACCCTTCCTTTCTCATTGATGAACAGAACAGGAGACTGAAATTTTTTCATGGGGCTTGAACTCTTTGAGTATAGGAAAAGACTACATGACATACAGACTCTTCAAATAAGCATCACTCCTTCCCGTCTAATGTTCCTTTCACACAGAATTTATTTAGTGCCTAATGTCGTCAACCAATTCCAGAAGAAAAAAAATGTATTTAAATCTCTTTGATGGCAGGGACTGTATTTTATTTATCTCCAAACCTGTGATATCTGACAATGCCTTTATAGACACTCTATAAATATTGACTAAATTAACAAATTAAAAGAGGTCTAATGTTTTGTCAGCATCCATAATAGTGGATCAGAGCTTACTTAATCTTGTATACTGATGATTCCATGGAAATAGGTACTCGCGGTTTGGATGGTCCCCCTGGGCCAGATGGATTGCAAGGCCCCCCAGGTCCTCCTGGAACCTCCTCTATTGCCCATGGATTCCTCATCACACGTCACAGCCAGACAACAGATGCACCACAATGCCCGCAGGGTACTGTCCAGATATATGAAGGCTTTTCTCTCCTGTATGTACAAGGAAATAAAAGAGCTCACGGTCAAGACTTGGGTGAGATAATTGGCATCTTATTTCTTACTACGCATTTTATTTTTGTTTTGAAAATCCTGTTGGGTTTTAGAGTAGCCTTGGCTTAAGTGCATCTCTTTTTTTATTTTGGGGCTTCTAAATTGGAGACCATGTCAAGGACAGCTGAATATATTCACCATGAGTTTTAAATAAATAATATTTAACTTTCACCTGAAAGCATTAATTAGCTAGTGTGAGGTACAATTCTTGGCCTAAAGCAAGATGTCTTGGAAAGGGCCACATTTACTTTTGTTAGCTTAGTTATTAAGGAAACAGATTCCCTGGGCTCTCTACAGTATAGCAGCTGCTTGAGTGGGCAGTGTTTATAACTCATGGGAGGTAGTTTCCTCTTCTCTGACACTGGTCTTCATCAAGTTGAAAGATAAATTCTGAAGAGAATCTTGGTTTTTACATCAAAGAAGGTAAGGTCATTGCTTAATTATGCTAGTTTATAGTTCCCAAAATAAGTGCCTTAGGTTTATAAACTATCAGAGTAGTTTAAAGCTATATAAAGCACCATATTTCCATATAAAATCCACTTCATTTAATGTGTTCCCATTCATCTTCTTTATACTGGGGTGGGTAGTTTGATTGATGAGCTAAGGCTGGACTGGATGACTCTCAAGATCTCTCCCAATCCCCAAGGTTTCTTTTTCTGGAATGTTGACTTTGGATTTTGAGGCCCCATTGTTTGACCTATTTTAGGGATCACTGGGGCTACCTATTTTAGGGATCACTATCTCTTTTGCCTCCATAAAGACATTTAAGAAGATAGTCTAGGCTCCCAGCTTCTAGGGTCTGTATGGTAAGAGGTGTCCTGAGGTCTCTTCAGCTCGGCCATTCTGTGAAAACAGTTCTGCAGCAACAGAGATCTCCAGAAATCTGCTCTGCTCACTGTTCCCAGGGCATTTGGCCGTACCTGCCAGGCAGTTCTGGCCCACCAGAGTAGTTATAGCCGCTTACATGGAAGCCAATAGTCACAGGTCATTTTATGAAATGAAATAACGTAAGAGTTTGCCCAACACTTTCTTCTTCTTCTTCTACTTTTCTTTTTTTCTTCTCCTTTTCATCTTTCCTCTGCTACTTTTCCTTCTTTCTTTTGCCTTCTTTATGTAACATCTTCTTTTTCTAATTTTACATTTGAGAAATCTTCATTGTGAAAATACTCTAATCTTTTAGATAATTTTCTCTAGTCTTTCTCCCATAAAATTCCTCTCCTTTTAGTCCATTCTCTCTTCACTGTCATAGTCTAACTTATACCCAAAATCAAGCTTGTAAACTTCAAATGCCTAACCCAGCAAGTCAATAGAAACAATTAGAAGTTTTTAAGTACCATAAAATTTAAAAATGCAATGCAGAGAGAAAATAGGATCTGCTATCTAGTATGTCACTATAACTTTTCAAAATGTATGTATTTAGTCAAACAAGGGCTGTCATAGTATGCCTTCAGACTTAGAAGCTATAAGATGGTCATGACTTGGATACACTTTAAGTTTCAGACATAGGAAGACCATGATAGGGCCCAAGATCCCCAAATGATCTTGAATTACAGAGTCTCTGGTAGGGTTCACACAAGGATAAAATTGGAGATATCTTGATGAATAAACAAAAAATAGAGACAGCTATAGCTTTGATGTTAAAGAAACAATCACTTGATCAAATAAATACATAGTCTGTATTGGATTAGCGAAAATATTATGGTGTATAGAAAAAGAGGGTGGAAGAAACAGATTGAATACTAAAACTGTTTTGTCTGGGAGAAAAACAAAACATACTAAGAACCATTAGTCTATTAAAGCCTTATAATTTTAGAAAATGAGAGACATTGAGAGTTCATGAGACTGCTATCTCTTCAAAAATTTGGAGACTATAACACAGAATTTTGCATCATTGTGGGCAGCCTACAGCACACGTGCAACCAAATACCCCTGTTCTCATCATTATGGGCCTCCCTTTTATGTACCTGTTCCTTTTTGTTCTTTCTGAGACCAGGGATATTTCCAGCTCTGTCCATAATTAGGCAATAATGTTAGTTTTATTTTTAAATTACTTTATAATTAAAAAGCACTTTCATATCCATTATCCAATATGATTTTCACAACTATGATCAAGAAAGATATAGGACAGGTATTGTTTTTTCCATTTTATACGCACACACAAAAACCGGCTAAGAGGTTAAGTGGCTTATTTAAAGCCACACACTCACAAAGTGGTGGAGATAAGAATTGAACCCAACACCTGCCAATTCTAAATCCATTCATTTTTCAGTTATGCCAATTTGTCATTCATGCTCACATGACCTTGAGTCAGCAGTTACCTCTCTCTGAGCCAGTTTTTTTCTCTGAAAAAAAGTCTAAATTAGACTAAATCAATTATTTTCAACATGGAGGACTTTTGAAAAGATTCCTAGGTGATTCTCTAAAAATTCCAAGTGCTTTTGATGATCCACCAGGTTTATGCATTATTGGGCTTTTATCAGTCATCTTCAATCTGAGATAAGCATACTCCTTTGGCTACATGAGTAATTTCCAAGAGATACTCAGGCATAATTTTAAAGGAATCAATTTTCAAATCCTCAAGTTTCATATATACTTTCTCCTAAAGTTGAACTGCCTGTCCATATGCTTTGGATAAACCCCTTTCCCACATCCCCAGTCACTATCACCCATCTCCCACTATAAAAGGATCATACAATGGTACATTGCTTTGAAGTATGAAAACCTCTAGGGGACAAATTCAAAGGGACAATTCAAAATAATGGTTTTGTTAAAGTCTCCATTAACTGAGGCTCTATAGTTCACTTCTAATTCATCTCATTAAGAAATGCATTTCCTGGTCTATCTCATCTCCAATATTTTTCATACAACCCCCACGGTAACCGCTAAACAAAAGATCAGAGCAGAGCCACAAGTCACAAAAAGAGAGAAAACTGAGAAATCTCCCTCAGAAAGCCACCAAAATGAAATAGCAGTCAGAAATACAAAGGAAGAGAAACAATGGAAACATAGAACAACCAGAAAACAAGAGATAAGATGGCAGTATTAAGCCCTCGACTATCAATAATCACTCTAAATGTAAATGGTCTGCATTCTCCAATCAGAAGACACAGAGTAACTGGATGGATTAAAAAACAAGACCCTACAATAGACAGCCTCCAAGAAACGCATCTCAGCTCCAAAGACAAACATAAGCTTAGAGTGAAGGGATAGAATACAGCACTCCAAGTTAATGGCCAACAAAAGAAAGCAGGTATTGCCATACTTTTATCAGATAGAGCAGACTTCAAGTTAAAAAACAAAACAATGAGAGACAAAGAGGGGCAGTATATAATGATAAAAGGGACATTCCACCAAGAGGACATAACACTTATTAGTATATATGCACCTGACACAAGGGCACCAAAGCACATAAAGCAATTATTAACAGACCTAAAGGGAGAAATTAACAGCAACACAATAATAGTAGGGGACCTCAACACCCTACTCACATCAGTAGACAGATCATCCAGACAAAAAGTCAACAAGGAAATAGTAGATTTAAATGAAATACTTGATCAGATGGATTTAATATATATATAGAACATTCCATCTGAAAATAGCAGAATGTACATTCTTCTCAAGTCCACATGTATCATTCTCAAAGATAGACCATATGTTGGGGAACAAGGCAACCCTCAATAAATTTAAGAAGATTGAAGTCATCCCAATCATCTTTTCTGACCACAGTGCTGTGAAGCTAGAAGTCGACCACAAGAAAAAAACAGGGAAAGTCAGAAATATGAGGAGACTAAGCAACATGCCATTGAACAACCGTTGGATCATTGAAGAAATCAAAGGGGAAATAAAAAAATACCTGGAGATAAACGAAGATAAAAATACAACATACCAACTCTTATGGGATACAGCAAAAGCAGTCATAAGAGGGAAATTCATAGTAATACAGGCCCACCTCAACAAGCAAGAAAAATCTTAAATAAGTAATCTTAAAATGCACCTAACAGAGCTAGAAAAAGAAGAACAAAGCAAGCCTAAAATCACCAAGAGGGAAATAATAAAAATCAGAGCAGAAATAAATGAAATAGAGAATAAAGAAACAGTAAAAAGGATTAATGAAACCAAGAGCTGTTTCTTTGAGAAGATAAACAAAATTGACAAGCTCTTAGCCAGACTCACAAGGAAAAAAAGAGAGAAGTCTCAAATAAATAAAACTAGAAATGAAAGAGGAAAAATTACATCAGATACTGCAGAGATACAAAGGATTATAAGAGAATACTATGAAAAACTATATGCCCACAAATTCGATACCTTAGAAGGAATGGATGAATTCCTAGACTCATACAACCTCCTAAAACTGAACCAAGAAAAAATAGAGAATCTGAACAGACCAATCACAAGTACAGAGATTGAAACAATAATCACAAATCTCCCAAAAAACAAAAGTCCAGGACCAGATGGCTTCTCTGGAGAATTCTACCAAACATTCAAAGATTTAGTATCTATCCTTCTCAAACTATTCCGAAAAATTGAATAAGATGGAATACTTCCTAACACAAACTATGAGGCCAACATTGCCGTGATACCAAAACCAGGCAAGGACATCACAAAGAAGGAAAACTACAGACCAATATCACTGATGAACATAGATGCAAAAATCCTCAACAAAATATTGGCAAACCGAATACAGCAATACATTAAAAGTATCGTGCACCACAATCAAGTGGGATTTATTCCAGGGATGTGGGAATGGTCCAGCCTCCACAAATCAATCAATGTGATACACCACATTAACTAACTGAGGAATAAGAATCACATGATCATCTCAATCAATGCAGAGAAAGCATTTGACAAGATCCAACATCCATTTGTGATAAAAACTCTCAATAAAATAGGTATAGAAGGAAAGTACCTCAACATAATAAAGGCCATATATGAAAAACCCCCAGCCAACATGATCCTTAATGGTGAAAAACTGAAAGCCATTCCCCTGAGAACAGGAATGAGACAGGATGCCCCTTCTCACCACTCTTATTCAACATAGTACTGGAGGTGTTGACCAGAGCAACTAGGCAAGAAAAAGAAATAAAAGGTATCCAAATTGGAAAGGAAGAAGAGAAACTTCTGCTATTTAAAGATGACATGATGCTATATATAGAAAATTGTAACGAGTCCACCGGAAAACTATTTGAAATAATCGACAACTGCAGCAAAGTTTGAGAGTACAAAATCACTTTAAAAGAATTAGTTGCATTCCTGTGCGCTAACAATGAACTAGCAGAAGAGAAATCAAGACTACAATCCCACTTACAATCACAACAAAAAGAATAAAACACCTAGGAATAAACTTAACCAAAGAGATGAAAAACCTGTACACTGAAAACTATTAGACATGTACACTGAAACTGAAAGACGTTATTGAAAGAAATTGAAGAAGACATAAAGAAATGGAAAGATATTCCATGTTCATGGGTCAGAAGAATAAACATAGTTAAAATATCCATACTACTGAAAGCAATCTACAGATTCAGTGCAGTCACAATCAGAATTCCAATGACATCCTTCACAGAAATAGAATAAAGAATCCAAAAATTTATATAGAACAACAAAAGACCCCGAACAGCCAAAGCAATCCTGAGGACAAAGAACAAAGCTGGAGGCATCACAGTCCCTGACTTAAAAATATACTACAAAGCTATAGTAATCAACATAGCATGGTACTGGCACAAAAGCAGGCAAACAGATCAATGGATCTGAATTGAAAGCCCAGAAATAAAACCACACATCTATGGACAGTTAATCTTTGACAAAGGAGCCAAGAACATACAATGGAGAAAGGAAAGTCTCTTCAATAAATGGTGTTGGGAAAACTGGACAGTCACATGCAAAAGAATGAAAGTAGACCATTATCTTGTACTATACACAAAAATTAACTCAAAATGGATTAAAGATTTGAATGTAAGACCTGAAACCATAAAACTCCCAGAATAAAATATAGACAGTATGCTCTTTGACATTGGTCTTTGCAACATCTTTTCGAATACCATGTCTACTCAGGCAAGGGAAACAAAAGAAAACGTTAACAAATGGGTCTACATCAGACTAAAAAGCTTCTGCAAAGCAAAGGAAACCATCAACAAAACAGAAAGATAACCCACCAACTGGGAGAAAATATTTGCAAATCATTTATCAGACAAGGGATTGATCTCCAAAATATATAAAGAACTCACACAACTCAACAACAAAAAAACAAACAACCCGATCAAAAAATGGGCAGAAGACAGGAACAGACATTTTTCCAAGGAAGATATACAGTTGGTCAACAGACACATGAAAAGATGCTCAACATCACTAATTATTAGGGAAATGCAAATCAAAACTACAATGAGATATCACCTTACACCAGAGTGGCTAGAATTACCAAGACAAAAAACAACAAATGTTGGAGAGGATGTGGAGAAAAGAGAACGCTCATACACTGCTGGTGGGAATGCAAACTGGTGCAGTCACTATGGAGAACAGTATGGAGATTTCTCAAAAAATTAAAAATAGAAATATCATACAATCCAGCTATCCTACTACTGGGTATTTACCCGAAGAACTTGAAATCAATGATCCAAAGAGATTTATGCACCCCTATGTTCATTGCAGCACAATTCACAATAGCCAGGATGCGGAAACAACCCAAGTCCTCTTCTACAGGTGAATTGATAAAGAAGTTGTGGTGTATATATATACAATGGAATACTACTCAGTCATAAAAAAGACGAAATAAGCCAGACAAAGACAAATACTACATGATTTCACTCATATGTGGAAGATAACAAATACATGGATAAAGAGAACAGATTAGTGGTTACTAGAGAGGAAGGGGGTTGGGAGGTAAGTGAAAGAGACAAAGGGGCACATATGTACGGTGATGGATAAAAATTAGATTAGACTACTAGGAGTTAGCACGATGAAGTGTATTCAGGAATTGATAAACAATAATGTACACCCCAAATTACATAATGTTATAAACCATTATAATCCCAATAAAATTACTTAAAAAAAAGAAATGCATTTCCGATAGAAGTTTACTTTTCATGGTTAGTAATTATCAAAATTTGTAATATCTATGTTTTTGATCAGTTGTGAATTAATAATAATCATGATAATTCAAAATAAAATATTTAATATGCAAAGCCTTACGGTCACAGAAAGTTTTTAATAGTTACTTTAAATTTTTGTTCTGGAGAAATATGATAGGATAATCAGTGAAAGACTTTCAAAAATAAAAAACATATTAGGATAAAACTGTGTGAGAGGAGTAGAATGGAGATGTAATTTCCAAATGCAAAAAGAGCATTGTTTGATTTCGAATTGTTAAAGACGAGTTTATGTGCTTTTAAAAATGTTTATTGTTAGACTTCAAATTGTTACATTGGATTCCTTTAAAATAGTAATATGAAAATTTGTTTTTAAATATAGGTATTCACAAAATACTAGAAATGAGTGCTGGTGATGTTGAAATGTGGCTTGCACAGTCCCAGGCTCCAGTATTACAAAGTAGAGTATAGACGGGTGGGTTGGGAGCCAAGAGACAATAACCAATAACTTAATAACTGCCATAGTATCAATTTAAACTTCTGATGAAATATTTTGGATACTAACTTAAAAATGTGTGAGAGGGGTACATCGCTTTTCATCATCCTTTTGTGAGTAGATGAGAAAAGAAAGGCCTAATCACTGGTAGAGATAACCTCTATTGCCCCTACCAGCTCAGAAATTCAAAGGCTCTAGTTCCTTTTCTTTTTATTCCCTCCATCCTTCCTCTCTCTCTCATTTATCTTTTTTCCTTTTTGTTATTCATCTCCAGACCTGTCCATATTGGTCAGCTCTACAATTGTGCCTAGGCTTAAAGAGATTGCATACCCACACAAGATAAATACTGGGGATGTCTTGGAAGAAGAGAGGGCAGCCTGGAGAGGAAATACTGATATGCTATTATAAGGACTCAGTATGTGCCCTTGACTTGTCCACAATAAACTGCCCAATATTCTCCATAAGACACCGTTGTTTATAAGATGCATCACCAGTTTAAAAACAGTGTTGGGGAATATATAATGAGCTACCACAGTAAATGTCTACATAAATTATAAGATATATCCTGACTTTAGAAATGTTAAAATATGAGTTAATGTGCATCTTATAATTGAAAAAGTATATTTATTATCTAAGAAACATGGGCAAGTTTCTCTTTGAGAGGTTGTTTGCTGGTGTTTTAGAAGAAGTTAAAGTATCATCATGATGAAGTTCTTCATCTTTTTCTCCTCAATTCTTCCTAGGGACGGCTGGCAGCTGCCTTCGTCGCTTCAGTACCATGCCTTTTATGTTCTGCAACATCAATAATGTTTGCAACTTTGCTTCAAGAAATGATTATTCTTACTGGCTCTCTACCCCAGAACCCATGCCAATGAGCATGGAGCCCCTGAAGGGCCAGAGCATTCAGCCATTCATTAGTCGGTGAGACATTGGTATAGCTTTGACTTTTACCAATCCCCAGTTAGTTTAGCTAGTCAGAAATGAGTCCAAAGCTAATAATCTGAGCATATTCCTCCCAGGTTAGGTAGAACAGAGGTGCCTTTATAATATTCAATTCAGTATTTAGTATGATCCACATTTATTGGGGATCTGCTTTTGACCATGCCCCATGATAGACACAGTGTAATGTACAAAGAACTCAGTCTAGTTATTAGGCAAATGTATGTAGATTAATCTAATATATATCAGGCTTGGGCTAAGTGCTACAATAGACCTAATAAAAATGTTATGAAAGCATAGGAAAAGGGATGTTTAATTCTAACTGGAGAAATTTGGGATGACTATGTGGAAGAAATGTGTTTTGAACTGGGTAGTCTTTGAAAGATGGGAAGGACTTGAGAGGTTGGCAGTTATAAGGGGGAAGGGCACACTACACAGAGAACATGGGTAGTAGATTGATGTGTCTAGAATATAGTTTGTAAAGGTTACATAGGGAGAAGAGACTGGAAAGTTAACTTGGACCCAAATGGTAGAAGGTTTTCAGTATAAGATTTTATTTTGGAATTTATTTGCTATATATTGGGGAGCCCCGAAAAGTTTTTGAGCTACATTTCAGGGAAGATTACAGAGCTATCAATGCGTAACATGGATTATAGAGGGAATAGTCTTGAGGTGGAGAGACCAGTTAAATTGAAGATATTGCTATATTCCTGGTAGGAGTGGATTGGAACTCTCAGTGGGGAACATGTATCACGTTAATAGAATAGATAGGATTTGGCAGTTGATTAGCTATGGGAAGAAGGAAATGATAGCTGAGGTTTGGTGTATGGGTAAGAGGAGGGTGGTACCATTAATAGATTCATAGAATTTTTCCACATTACAACCCTCGTTTAACTCAATCTCCTAGGCATATTAGATATTGCCATTTTCCTTCTGATTATGACCCAATTGATCTAGGCGTCCAGTAACCATAAAAGATGAATCATTGGAAAGTCTAGTTTCTTTCACATGGCGTATAAAGTTTAAATCTAGTTTAGCCTCTCTTTGTAGCAAATTCATGGTGCCCTTTTTAATACATTTGCCCAAATCCTTTGGGAATTAGGTTTTTGTGATTTTTCTCACTCCTAACTCTTGGGAGTAAAAGGTTCCCTAAAGGTATACCCTATTTTGTAGATAAACTTTGCCAAATTGGTTCAGTCATATTTCAAAAAGGTCCCCTCATGCTCTTATTAAAGATTTGGTAGACTCAGCTGTATTTACTGTGTTGCTGTTTTATTTGATTTTATAGATTTAAGCCACATCCCCAAGTACCTGGGTACCTGCCCAGCATTCTGGATATTTTGTACTTCTCCAGATATAGCCAAATGGTTAATAAATATACTTTGGACCAAAAATAATGGGTGGGGATTGAGAAAGTGTCTTTCTTGTCTTTTCCAGTTTACCAGACATTGTTCTTACCACAGTTTCAGCATTACTAAATGTCTACCCTCCAATTGGGCATTTTCACAGCAAGTAGTATGTACAATACACTATGCCAAACTCTTACAGCAATTATGGCATTGACTACAGCAAGTATGAATACAAATTTGGAGCAGAATGGAAAATGAAAATGCTATAGCAGTGATTCTGTAGTTTCTTGAAAAAAAGCGTACAGTTTTTGTTTGTAACTTTATTATGTATATTGAGAGACAAGATTTATGCAAAAAGCAATTCTCAAAGTTCATTTTTCTCCTCCTTTCCTGAGCATTAAAGACACCTTAATGGGCTTCTATACCAGGAAGGCTACCAAAGAAGAGGGACTGCTATTTCCCACCTACTCACTCTGTAGATTGTATTCCTTCTCCCTTTCCCTTACCAGATGTGCAGTATGTGAAGCTCCAGCTGTGGTCATTGCAGTTCACAGTCAGACCATCCAGATTCCCCGTTGTCCTCAGGGATGGGATTCTCTCTGGATTGGTTATTCCTTCATGATGGTACGAAACATTCTTCCTTGTCTTTGTCGTCATAGCTGACTGTCCATCATATCTACGTTTCTTCCCAGTATGAGGAATCCCTGTCATTTTGTGTAGTAAGAAGCTTGAGCCTTAAATAGTTTCTATCCGAGCACTGTGTTCCCCCTCACACATTTTCTGGAACATATTTTCATAATCTGCCTGTTGCTTTGGTTGAGTACCCTTGGTGTGGATACTATTCTCTTACCTCTGGCCCTCTTCCTTCACTGGATTTGAATTTTTGACCAACTTCAGCACACAGCTTTGGGTATTCACTAAGTTATTATGGCCCATGGGTATTATAGCCCATGGGTATTGTGGCACATTTTTCCTTGTCTTTTCTAGCATACAAGTGCAGGAGCAGAGGGCTCGGGTCAAGCCCTGGCCTCCCCTGGTTCCTGCTTGGAGGAGTTTCGTTCAGCTCCTTTTATCGAATGTCATGGGCGAGGTACCTGCAACTACTATGCCAACTCCTACAGCTTTTGGCTGGCGACTGTAGATATGTCAGACATGTTCAGGTAAGGTGCTTATGACTTTAGTTTAGGTCCTAAGCTTCCTTCACAGATGCTCAGGAAGAGAGGCTGTTCACGGACGGTTTATATCCAACAAATGTTAGTAACTTAGTGGACTGTGTCCTTTATTCTTGCTTGTTCTCCTCATATACTAGACTCAGGTCAGAAAAACAGACGGCTAATATTAGATACGTGTGATTTGAGATTGTTTGGTAGTAATCTTTCAATAGCAAAATAGACAGAGCAAGGAAAGGTTATATGATCTGCTTAATAACAAGTGAGCAGCTGCTCAACTAGACCAAAGTCGGCCCCAGGAATTGAAGCCGTAAACTATATTCTCTCCCCTAGTCCAGTAGTCTCCTTTTGCAGAATGATTTTAAGGCTCTCATCCAAGTGTTTGAATGAATAAGGCCACATATGATATGTGTACCTCAGGATACTTCAATCTGTTGAATTTTTTGTTAGTTTGAATTTATTTTTATATGTTGCTTCTTTTGAGTTATCATTAATTCATATTTTTTATGTATTATCTTTTTGTATTTCTTGTGTATCATGTATTATCATTTATTTGTCATCAGTTGCCCATATCCTCCTCAATCTAGGCCTATCAGAAAAATGTATAAAAAAAGAGAGGGAGAGACAAATAGTCAAAAATAATAGTCGTGAGGAGAAGAGTCACAAAAATACCTATGACCCCTAATGGCTCTTAGGCCATTCCATTCATCGCATTAGATCCCATTGCTCAAAAGTTAACCATGAAGTCATCAGGAGAGCTACTTAAACACAAAGAGAATGTTTGGGTATGAATTTGAACCAATAATAGAATTGAAATCTCATAAAAGGCTAATCTGATAGTCTTATTTCTTATTTCCCAGCAAACCTCAGTCGGAAACGCTGAAAGCAGGAGACTTGAGGACACGTATTAGCCGATGTCAAGTGTGCATGAAGAGGACATAACATTTTGAAGAATTCCTTGTGTGTTTTTAAATGTGATATATATGCATATATATATATAAAATTCCCAGGATGCAATGTCTCACTCTCCCCAACTTCACCACTGCTGCCACCAATGGTGCTACTATATATGACCAAGAGAACATGCTGACTAGTAATCATGAAGATTCCGATGTACCTCAGCAATGTGCCAGAGCAAGGTGTCTATTATTTTTCTATGAAAGAAATAAGGAAATGAATTTACTCTTTGGGTCCAGAATGACTTTCTCCAAGGATTATAAGATGAAGATTATATATTTTGCCCAGTAACTAAAATGGCACGTTAAAAATTCAATTAAGAGAAGAATCACACTGAGTGAAATAAAAGACTGCAGTTTGGGGGAAGAATTATTTTTCATGGTGCTACTAATCCTACTGTATCCCAGGTTTTTAATATAAAAGTGTTAAGCTTATTTTGCTCTGTAAGTAAAGAATGTGTATATTGTGTAAACAGCCTTTTAGCGCAAAATGTTCAGTCATTTAGATGTGAACTGACATGACTCACTCTTTACAGAAAACTTAGGAAAACCTAGAATACAGACAGCAAGATTTTATATCCATGTTTATCAAAGTGAGAGAATTTGTATTCTTGCATCAGGTTACTACTGAGAGTAAATTTATTTTGAGTTTTATCCTCTAAGTTCGTATCTGACTTTTTTAAAAATTAGGTCATTTCTAGTCACTTTAATCAGAATTTTAAATGTTCCTGTTACATACCAAATTTATAATATCCAATGGAGCAATTCACTTTTGCTATATTCTCAAAGACACTCTTAACACTAGATGCCCCCTGTTTTAATATTTCTTACATCTTGTTTTTGCTCATCCCTGACTGGGCAAAGGTTCTCCCAAATAATTTTGAGAAGCAAAAACATACCAAAAAAAAGACAATTCTTTTCCTGTGCTTCTTATGTAAGAATTATTCTCCTGTGGTCTCTGCTTGTACAAGAACTGGGAAGACAGTACTCGGTTAGTCTTCTCTCATCAATTACAAAGCCAATTGATGTTTCTTACTCTTTTTTATTTTAAACATTTTATTATAAATAGTCATAGAATACTTTATTTCCCTAGCTGTCATCTTCTCACTTGATGTTTTTTAACTCACCAATATCAATTTAATTAAAGATATATGTTGTAAGGATGGCTTATTGTGTATCTCTTCAGCCTATGTGTAAAAATGTACTCATTTACAGATAGACTACACATCTGCACATCAACAAGTAGTCCCTTCTCAGAGAATCATTTAGAGCAGTTCCAAACCAAAAGAGGTTTCTGCAGACTTGGGTCACTCTGATAGCTGATAGAAAACACACAGCAATGTACTTTTTCCAATCAAGAAAACAACCCATTCAGAGGTATTTTTGAGATAATAAATTTATTAAAAACATTGTGTTGATGGCTGGGAAAGGAAGCAGAACTACTTTCTATTTTGGGAAGAATTCATTAATAATGTTTAAAGTAGATTAGTGAGTTAATATTCCTAATTATCAAGAGTGAACACATGTAGCTGAGGACTTGCTAAATGTAAGAGGCATTAAAAGCCTCCAAACTAAAATTTGTGTTACAGCTAAAATATGAAACTACCAAAGTGATTTTGAGAATTTTAGACCCTAATATGAACCCATGAAAAATCTGAAACTTAGAGTCTGTAGTGGTAAAAGTTTTAAGTTCTAAACAGTGGTGACTACCTAATAATACCATTGATTTCAAGGCTAGCCAATTGCAAATTCTAGCTTTATTTTTCCATGTAGCCACATACATGAAAACACTAATGGGTAACTGTAAATGAAAACGCCATATTGCATCCTATAGATTTTTCTACATGCTGTACACTCAAAGGATGCTCCTTGAATTACAATTGCAAACAATAATTTCTGAGATTTTTCTTTTTGTAGCTTTCCCTCTCATTTTAGCTGGTTGAAAACCTTGCCTCAAAAAGAACCTCCTAGGCATTCTAACCAGCCCAGATAACCAGAAGTTTGCTCTTCAAAGCTGAGGATCGACTTGCCCTGCTTTACCTTCCATCCCCTCCTAGACCTGGTCTGTGTCTACATGGGGAGTTTTTAAATTGCCTGAAGGGGTCCTGGCTGGAGGAAACATGCAGAGAAATTCTATGGCATAGCACAGTCCGGATCACCTGACTGATTTTTCATAACAAGGTATAGCAGCAAATTCTTTATCCAGGTCAGCTTCTTCCCTGAAAATTATATATTTTTAAAATTTTTCTTTGAAAAAACTCCAATGTGAAATTGCTTAGAATTGAAGAATATAAAGGCAGTAGTCATGTACTGTTAGTTTGCATATGGTGATTTTGAGATAAAAAATTAAATTTTATCTTATATTAGGGATAGAATTTCAAGCAACTTTCTACAGAAAAATAGCTTGTAGTTAAATTTCCTAATATAAGAGTAATTATTCACTGAAAAAATTGTCTAATCTGTGCCACCTCAAAATAAGAAATGTGCCTCTTCAATGAATGTTGTATACAAGAATGTTACATTTGTAAGAGCACAGGAAACTCAATAAATTTTAAACTATCTAAAGGAAAAAAAAAAGAACCTCCTAACATTTTAATAGTTGCACGTGCAGCTAGTCTGTGTGTTTCTTAGTTCCTGTAACTATCCCAAGCCCTGCTTTCTTTTTGAAAGTACATGAACCCAATCTATTCCAGGACCTTAATGTTGTTGACCCTCCCTTGCCACTGAATATTCAAAGATTATTCTGATGTAGCTGCTCTAGTAGTTACCTATAGTGAGTTTTGCAGTCATGCACAGTTAATGGTTTTCCCACATAGGCAGGCAATGAATGAGCTGTTCTGCTTAATCAGAAACAAAGAGTATCAACCAAGTGATATATATACACACATACACACACACGCACAACATATGCTATGTTGGCTTCACACTCATCACTTCCAAGCTTCCAAAAGAGATTTTATTGGACACCTTGTGATTATACAGTCTCTTTCCTCACCCAGCAAAGTTTGAAGAACTTTTTCTGTTTCTTGTGGCGCCATGGAGGTTCTTTGCCTCAATTGGCATCTTTAATTGAAAACTCACTGGTCATGGCAAACCATCAGAAGTTTATTCATATGTTAATCACAAGAGGGCACTATTGCCTATAAAGATAAATCGACATGTGCAATGATTTGTTGTGCTCATTATTGATGGTGGTGGTGGAGTTGTCTAAAGCCTTGCCTCCAGAGTCCTTGTTTTAAGCTTCATGTATTCTTTCATCCTCGTAAAGATCAATAGCAAGTATTTTAAGAGGTGGCCCAGTTTGCCAATGTCTGCATTCAAAATAAGGGACAGCTCTGCAGTCAAAGATTCTTTTAAGGGCCTGATTAGGAGTTGGCTTTGGTAGTGCTTCCCGGGCCTCTCAACCTAGAAGCAAAGAGCAATCACTTTTGTTTGGCCAGGGCTTCAGTTGACTTCTTTAGCAGAGAAACTCTGTTCTCAGACTGGACTATACAAACACCTTCATCCCTAGGCAGCTCCAAAATAAATTGAATAATATTTTTAAATCATATGTCATTTCCAATTTAGAGGAGTGGTTTCCAGAGTATAATTAGGATGCTTGGAAGGTTTGTATAGTGGAAATACTTATAAATTGGGACACTGAAGGAATAAATCCAGATAGGCCTGTCTCCCAAGTTTCACAGCAACAAACATTCATTACATACTTATTAGCTGTAGCACACTATGACAGATAGCAATCCAAAATCAACTCAATCAGAAAGATTTTAGTCACTATAATACATATCCCGAGAAGAAGTATGGTATGCTAGCCTTGACTACCAAATCTTACTAATTCTAGGCCAGACTCGGATAGGTGATGAGGCTTTTTGCCAGCAGTAGCTTTCCAGAGGAACCTGACTCACCAACCTGTTGCCTAACACATGGACAGGCTAAAATCACATTTGTGTAACCTTAATTCTCTATTTCTGTATGAGTGGACAGCATGCCCAACACCTAATCCCACAGGATGACAAATTGATGACATCATACCAATTTATGCCAGATATCTTCTGTTTTCCTTCTCCAGATTCACATGGCATTCTTTGCCCTGCTTTCTGTCCCAGAGGATTTCCATGCCCTCTGGCTTCTGATTGAGTTCAACCAATGGGATGCTCCCAGCAGGATAGCAGAGTGAGGAACAACACTGAGGTTAGGGTTTTTATTTTCATGGGTCCTGTGGGGTCACCTCAGGTTGATTTGTGCTCCTCAATTGAATGTCCCTGCTCCTCTCAAGATGACCTGCTCTTCTTAATTATCTCCACCTATGGTTCCAGTAACCTCTTTCTTCTCATTTCTTCAGGTCTTTGTTTATGACAAGTCTACTACTCCTGTGCTGCTAGCCTTGGTATCCTGCACTATCTTTTGTGGTTCTCCTACACACCCCCTATATCTTTTCTAATTAAACTCTCCTCAGATTATCCTAATTTATGTGTGTTGTCTGTTTACTGTTGATACCCTGATGAATGCACAACTGTTTCCAAAATCTAGTGGAAGTGCTTTATTCTATGTATGGCAAAATGAGGGTGAATTGATAAAGGAGACAAGCATGATTAGCATCTTCCATTTTGAACTGAGGGATAGACCAGCAGAAATATGACTTAACATCACTTAACCTAAGACCTAGTTAACCAAGCTTTATTGGAAGCTGTGTTCCAAGATTTTTAGGGTGATATGAGGCAAAATATGTTCATTATGATCCTAAATTATTTAACTTTTTTCAAATATTGTCCCATTGGATCTCTAAAGAATGCATTTTGACTTCCCCCTGAGTGGTCATTTGGTTTGCTTCATCCTACTCCAAAGGAAGAATCCCAGTTGCTTCGTTGGCAGGCTAGATTGTAAGCAATGAGGAGTAATCGCTCATAGATCCAAAAAGGAAGCTCCTGTTAGTACCATTAGTACTACTTCCACCAGAGAAATCTGCCAAGCCAGGTGTGTATATGCCTGCAGTCAGTAAAAAAACCCAAAGTATTACTAGGCCAAGAAATAGACAATTTAAACCACCTAAAACAAATATTTTTCTAGCCTCAAGGCTTCTGTGAAAGGTAAGCCCACAGAAGCACTTCAGATCTGCTTCCCTTTTGTTCATCAAGGCTTACCAGGGGGAATGCTTAGACTGGCGATTATAGAAGGTGGGACAGGCTCTAAGACCAAAGGCAGTCTGAGACTACTTGCTAATTTCATCCAGGGTTACATGAAGCCTACCAAGAAGTGAATATACTTTTCTGTAAAGTAAAATAGCTTTCTGGTTGATTTCTTTGGGGCCAGTAAAGTGCTCACTATTAACAGTCTATTATAAGCTGCAATGGTAAATCAGATGTCAGATCTTTGTGTCTTTCTCTGACACAATAATTTGACCTTTGCTTGGGCTCTAAAGGAGAGTACCTCTGATGCCTCAGTAGCAACAAGAGTAACACCTTATATTTATATAGTTCTCATTGAAATGTCATTCTTCACACATGATTTCATCTGAGCCTCAACAACCCTGATGTATTCAAACAGTGCAAGTTGTCTCCATTTTACAGGTGCAGAAGCTGAACCTTAGACTGGTTAAATGACTTTCCCAAAGTCACAGGACAAGTTACTAAGTTCTTTTTTACTCAAAATCTAATCATCACCTTGTAGTCATGAAGATGCCTGTATCAAAAAACTCAGAATCCTGTGTGGTGGAGATTCCTGGCAGTACAAGGGTCTCTGCCTCACGAGAAGTGATAAGCTACATGTTTTGGAAACCTTGGTTGTCAGTTAAGGATGAGTGCTTTTGCCAGCACCGTCGTAGCACTGGAGACCGTTTAGAATTAGGCCTTGGACACAGGGGGCTTACAGTGAATCAATCCACTGTACCTCAGGATACTCTTGTCTGGTTTAATGCTCTGTAGCTAAAGAAAACCTGTGAGTCTGACCTGGTACCCACCACTCATGAGCTTCTTTGGGGTTTTTGAATCCAGATGAGCTCCTGGAATTTGAATGCTCTGTTCTGCAAACCCTCTAGTGCCACTAGTGTCCAAGTAAGGACCAGTGTGTCTTTTCTTTTTTTTTTTTTTTAAGGATTGGGACCTGGGCTAACAACTGTTGCCAATCTTTTTTTTTTTTTCCTGTTTTATCTCCCCAAACCCCCCCTGTACA